GCGGCGGGGGGGGAGCGGGGGGGGGGAGGGGAGGAGAGGAGGGGGAGGAGAGGAGGGGAGGGGAGGGGAGACGATTAGAATGGGAGGGAAAAGGAGCCACAGATACCCAATGTAGACCGGCAGGCTTCAATTTGAAACTCCTGCTTCCGATTTTGCAGCTACCTGAGAAACGGCTGTGGGCCTCAGGCGGTGAGAAACTCGGGTTATGCAGTCATCTTTGTTGGGTGACAATATTCTGAGGGATGCATGCGCATACACTGGTCTTTTGGAGGGTACGTGGTAACCGTATACAGACGTAGACTTCCTTTGTGATGGGAGGAGAATTGACACACAAACCTGATGCTTCTCGTGTCTAGAAACGGTACGAATGAGGCGGGTGGATGGACTAGCCTCATGAACGTCTGACGTAAGCCGAAAAATTGTTAAAATAAAACTAAGAACTGTGGATGCTCCTGATCTGAAACAAAAGCAGACGTTGCTGGAGAAAATCAGCTGTTCAGGCAGCATCTGTGGAGAGAAACCAGAGCTTCTAGTTCAGTTAACCCTGCTTTTGCTCCATCAATGTTGCAGATGTGCTGGCTCTCTCCAACAATTTTTATTTCTTCTATTCAAAATAACAGGCCAGTTACAATATTGTTGCTTCTTAATTCAGAGCATTTGCAGGTGAGCGGGCACAGAGGTGATGGGTGAAGAAGAGTTGGTGCAAATATGGACACAGGCAGCAGTTTATTAGATGACCTCTAGATTACAGAGGAATAATTTTCCAGGCTGGGAGTGTGCTATGTTTTGAAAGGTGTGTGATTTGTACATTAATATCCCATTTAGAGTTTGGATTTCAAAATAAAAGTATTGTGTGGACATTGGTTAGCTTTGTGAAGGAATTCCTTTCAAATAAAATCGAGGTTAGAGTCCTTGAGGAATGCTGATGAAATACAGCAGTGCTCAGTACATTAGCCAAGTCCCCAAAGTGTTGATGGTGAATTATTTCTGCTGTTGGGTTTATAACACAGTAAACATTGAAAACTTCTTAAAAACCGAAAGAACTGCAGATGCTGTATATCAGGAACAAAAAAAAAGTTGCTGGAAAAGCTCAGCAGGTCTGGCAGCATCTGTGAAGAAAATATCAGAGTTAATGTTTCTGGTCTGCTGATTCTTTCTCAGAACTAGTTTGGAAACTGCTTGTTTTCCATTCAGAATAATCAAGAATTGATTTTTTTTTAGAAAACCCTGACATTGAATATTTTTAGAGCAGCTCATAAGAGACCAGATCCGAATAGGATATTATAGTTTCTCTTCCATGTTTTCATTTCATAGCAGGTCAGGGATATTGAGATACATGTTTGAGAAGTCCCCTTGGGGTGAAATAGTTAATCGTTGTTGTGAAGAATTTGGTTCAGTCTGAGACAGTTGTCAGGGTGAGGGGTAGGTTTGTTGTCAAAAGAGTGCACTTTGTAGCCGAGACCAAAGACAATGGCTTAGGTCTTCCCAACATTTAATTGGCAGAAATTTCTGTTTAATGACTAATGTCTGTCAAACAAGTCAGGATGGTTTGAAACTGGGTGTAAACTTGGAGGAGATTATCATGTATAGCTGCTATCCTGGTCCCTCTCCTTGACCTACTGTATCTCTCTTTCACTCTCTATCCTACTCTCATTCTGAGGATTTCAGTCTTGAGTAGGTGCAGACCAGTTCCCTTCCCCTGAAAGTCATTACTAAACCAGTTGTATTTTAAAATCAATGTAGAACCTCTCATGGTCACTTTTGCCTAATGCCAGGTCTCCCAAATTACCAGGTTCATTCAGCCCAATTCCACAATTTGTCTTTGTTTGTGGGTTTGTGCTCATTCTCTTTTGTTGTTGTTGTTTTAAATCCATTTTACAGGTCTTTTGTTTCAACAAGTTTTCCACTTGGCAAACTTGAACTAAACATCTAGTTCGAATCTAACAGTCACCTGATTTTATGTAACCGGAAA